GTTATTTTTAAGGAAAACTTTCAGCACTCTAATATTTTTTTTTGTACTTAGCTTTCACCTTTATGCTTACGATGCTTTATGGAAAATATATTATAAAGAAATTAAAATAAGACTGTTAAGAGTGAGATTAAATTTCATATTTCATAAGAAAGGTATCTAATTAATTTATAGGTACCTTTCTTACGAAATTTTATCAGAAATGTACATAAAATACTATAATTTTATGTACATTTAGTACATTTTACTGTGTTATTTGTATTTCCATTCATTTCATTATTAATTTTGATATTTATGGAAAAATGTCATAACTAAGATTAATATAAAAATAAGATCATATAAATTTCATAAAATGATACTGATACTTGTAGGTACCCTTCTTAGTTGATATTGAAAAGTCAAATTAACTTCTTCACATGTGTTTCACAAATTCATTTTTCATTGAAAAAAATCTTTTGCTTTCAGAAAATATTGTCCATATTCATAAAAGCAAATAAAAGCATTTGAAATTAAATATCTTTGTTTTATTGAGTTTCGTATGATACAAAGAGAAAAAAAAAAAAATAATAGAAAAATTAAAAAAAAAAAAAAAATAGAAAAATTTAAAAAAAAAAAAATAATAGAAAATTAAAAAAAAAAAAGAAAAATTTAAAAAAAAAAAAAAAAATAGATAGAAAAAATTAAAAAAAAAAAATAGAAAAATTAAAAAAAAAAAAAAATAATAGAAAAATTAAAACAAAAAAAAAATAATAGAAAAATTAAAACAAAAAAAACTTTGGTCTTTCCTCTTAATAATTATTAGACGATAAAATTTTGTTTTCGTCAAGTTTGGCATCTTTTTCATCATGCTATGATCTTTTTTTTAGCGATCTCATGGAGGTACCTATTCTAATCTTTAACTTACAAAATTTAGAAATACATTAATGACATGCTTCTGTTAGTCTATGTTATTAAAATAACACGCTGTGTATGTATGTATATATATATATATATATATATATATATATATACACATTTTTTTTTTTTTTAAATATTTCATGAGAAAGATAAAATGACTTTCAAAATAACAGTGCAGGCCAGTTTGATCACAGAATAGGTTTAGATGTTTACATTTAGTGATATAAATGATAAGCATCAAGCAGAAGGCCTTTAATACTGTCCCTGTCTCACACACAAGTTGTTGTAATACACTAAAATTGATTATTTAATTTTTAAGAATTAATGTTCACTTTTTTTTTTTCTTTAGGTCATGAGAGTGAAATCTAATTTGTATATTTAACTATTTCACTAACATAACAGATTTTAAATATATTTTTAGATTCAAGCAAAGTGATCAGTTTTGTTTATGCATTTATTTTATACTATTTAACTGTCAGCTCTAATTGGGAATTAGACAAAAGGTTAATAGCTATCTTCAGACTGATGCAAGATACTCTTGATAGTTTATATGGGGTGGGGGAGGACAGGAAGATTTTAGAAATTCGTTTTATGTTGCTGCTCAGAATTAATCATTGTAGATATTTATACTTGTTACCTGCTTTCAAAGTGAAAGGAAATACTTTCTGTAATTTCCTCTCGTGCTTCATGTCAGTTCTACAAGGTGATAAATATATCTTATCTGTGTAGCATCAGACAATAAACTTTATAACCCTACAATTTTAAACTGAATTCTAATAATGAAAGTAATAGATAAGTATTGCTTGTGCATACTACATATAAGCGTTACTGTTGTTAAAATAAACTATATCTCTTTGCCCTTAACTTATTTAAAATCATTTAACATACACTGAAGAAAAAATATTTTCTTTCACCATACTAATCTAAAATATATAAATGGAATTTATGTTAATCAATTTAAATGTTAGTATTATAAACATAGAATAAGAATAGATTCCTCCATTTTGTTTATATGAAATATGCCTTTTTTGCTTTAACTTTCTAAAGCTATCATTTGTTAATGTTGTTGTCAAGGTTAACAGCATTTATAATTACTATACATGCCTAGGCATGTATAGTAATTATAAGATAATGTTTTATTTAAATAGCATGCCAGTGACAAGACATTTTATATAGATATCTAGTGATGAGAATTCAAGGAGAAGTGTATTCAAGACATTCCAAAGACAGTGATAAACAATCTTAACTAGAATTCATACCATTCATTGATGAGAATATAATTTTCCAAAATTAAAGTTTATAAAGTATTTTTATAATTAATTTTTTTTATATAAAATATATTAATCCAGTTGCACTGAAGGAGACTCAGATGTTGAAGCATTTAAAATTTTATGTTTGTTTTATTTAAAACTTAATACTTAAAAGTATTTTGTATTGATCACCTCCCTTTTCACAGACCATATAGATTTGTTTTTAATCATTTCACCCCAAGCAAGGCAATAAAGGAAGGGGTTACTAAGTGTGAAAGCATTTAAGAAAAAAACATTAAGGAGAGAGGACAATATAAGAACAAGAATTAAAGAGACAGACAATGATGATTGACATTGCATTTAAATTTTTGAAGATCAAAATTGATTGGAAAGGAAGAAGCTGGGAGGGAGTTCTACAAGTGAGAAGTGCAAGAGAAGAAACAATTAGAATAGAACTTATGATTACCTTTTTGCAATTTCAACTATAAAATGATGAGATTGAGCTGTCAATCTAATACTGTGTTTAAATTTGTAAAGTTGAAGTTCCAAAGTGGAAAGCTCATCAGAACAATTATCATAAAAATATTTATAGAAAAACACAAAGAAGCTATTATTATATTAAGCTACATTATATAATCTATATACAAATTTTCTGCAAAACGTTAATTCAAACAAGTTAAATAGAAATGTAGGCATTTGTTTATTGCATGAGATGATGGTAGCAACCTGTTTGTTAAAAAATTCAGTCCTTTTGTGAGCAGCACCAGGAGTTGTAAAATGCTGTCTCCTGTGTTGTGGTCTAACTGGGTGGTGAAACTGAAGTGACCTTTCTAGAGTGCAGACCTGAGTGATGGCATACAGAGGCTTTGTACTGCTCAGACCACTTGACCTCCCCACCTCTCACCCAAACAGACAAGATCCAAAGGAATACAGGGCATTACATTTGGGGCCAGTATGGGTGCAGGAGGTGCCAGAAGGTTGTCAATATTGACAGCCAACTGCTTTCAGGGCTACATTCAGGATTTACTTCCATAACCTTTTCCATGTTTGGATATGGCCACAAGGTAGCAGAAGCTTAAAATGAAGGTTTTCCTTCCCCTAGATGGATTGCCTTCCTAGGCTGATGAGCTCCATCTACCCAAAGTGGCAGTTTATAATGTGCCAGTGGTCTGCCTTTGCCTCTTATCTGGCTTGGAGGTGCACTTAATTGTCAGAGACTATTTGAGATGCATACCATGGGAGCATCGTTTAGACAGTGAGAGCTTGTTTCCACTTCCACACCTGGCTCTAACAGCCTTGGAACATATATAATGTACATAAATAAATATTACATAAATGTTTCAGAAGCTCAAAAAAACAAAAAAAAAACAAAAAACCAAAAAAAACCAAAAAAAACAACTTTTTTTCAAATATATATAAAAGTGAGTGAGTGTGTGTGTGTGTGTGTGTGTGTGTGTGAGTAAAAGCAAAAAAACGTTTTAATCCTCTTACATCAATTCATGTTCTATTTATGTTAGTAAATAGAAATAGTTCATTTAATATCTAGAATATTCATTTTTGCAGTAATTATTGCAATAATAAAGCTCCAAATTTTAATGTAAGAAACACCTAATATTCCCTAAGCAATCTTGTGTAACAAAATACTTGTGCAAAATATATTGAACCATATATATTGAAATAAAATTTAAACCCCATTATCTTTAACTGTCAGATGAGTTAACAGTAACCAGAGCAAAGTATTAGTAGTTTCAAGTAATTGTTTTACTAATAACTAGGTTGTAATTTAGGGCATTATTATTGAATATTCCATCTGAAATTTGGTCGCTTTCTACATATAGGACAATGCTGTTCATAGTTACAAAATGTCTTTCCTTTCACTTTGAAAGCAAGTAACACTGGAGATGTATAAATACGACAAGGATTAATGCAGAACAGTAGCATAAAATTAATTTCTCTAAACTTCCTGATTTTTCCCTTATAAATTAGCAAGAGTATCTTGTATCACTCTGATGACAGATATTAACCTTGGTTGTTTTGTCTAATTCACAATTTAGCTGACAGTTTTATAGGATAAATACATACATATATAAAACTGATCACTTTGCTTGAATCTAAAAATATATTAAAAACCAGTGTTATGCTATTAAAATAGTTAAAGATACAAATTACAGATTTCACTTCCATGACCTAAAGAAAAAAAAAAGTGAACATTAATTCTTAAAAATTGAATAATGAATCTTAAAGTGTATTACACTAATATATGTGTGTGTGTGTGTGTGTGTGTGTGTGTGTGTGTGTGAGAGAGAGCGAGAGAGGCAGTATTAAAAGCCTTCTCGTTGATACTTATTTATATCACCAAATACAAATATCTAAACCTATTCTGTGATCAAACTGGCTTGCACTACTGATATTTTGAATAGTCCTTTTATCTTTCTAATGAAATATTAAAAATTGTGTACATATATATAAAGCATATTATTTTAATAACATACACTAAAAGAAGCAGGTTATTAATATATAGCATAAGTTTAAATTTTGTTTATCTTTGAAATAGTCATTTGAACTATAAAATTAAAATAGTTTCAAATAGCCGTGAGATTTAAAGTAAAGATTAAAAACTACTCGTACATAAAATATAATAATCACGAATAAAAGAATATTTGGAATAATACGTTCATTTCAGCTCTTACACTGACAAAATATAAACAAAACTGAAGTCAAGGTTTGTGTCATTAGAATATTGTTTTTAATTAGAATATTTTTAAAGGATTTAAAAGAGAAAACAAAGAATGTTTAATAGTTTACAGTAGTTGTTTGACCATAACTTTTCTTTCAGTATAAACTATTTAAACATACCAGAGATCCAAGAGATCCAGAATAGCTGCCAGCTGTGGATCCCCCCAAACTGGAAAGGCTGCTTGTGGAGCTTGATCTGGAAGAATATCCAGAAGCTAAACTGGAACTTAAAGGATAGTTGTTACCATAAGACCCATAAATGGTTGAGAAACTGGCAGAACTAGAGCTACCTATTCCATTTCCCAGTCCTCCAAGTCCTGAAGAATATCGGTAAGATCCATAAGACATTGTACCTGACCACAGTAGACACAGGTGAATTTGCCAAGAATGTCTGTGTGTTTATGTATGCATGTGTGCACGCACGCATTCACGTTACAGTAAGTAGTAGTAGTAGTAGTAGTAGTAGTAAAAACGGAAGGCTGAAGAACTCAAAGAGTGAGGTTGGGGGGGGGGAACCAAAACTTACACTACACAAACATTATCTAAGTTCTTTAAACTAGCCAACTACATAACTTTTCCTTCCTCACCCTCACCAATATCTAGCACCATCATCAGCACCATGATGATTTGCTGCTGCTGCTTGCTCTGTAACAGCAATTATACAGAGGAGCAATCCAGTTCCTCTTTGCTGACTAAAGCAGAGAAACTCACAGCAGAGCTATCTAGATATATGTATACATGCACTTCAATGCATGTATTTTGTGTGTAATATACTAGATGCACACATTCTTAGGGAATTGACAGCAATAAATTTTAAGATAAATTTAAGTCATATTTTAATTTATATTAAAACATGACTTAAATTTATCTTTACAGGAATGATTTTATTTCATAATGGTTCCAAACATTGGGCATAACTATTACTATATATTTTGATAAATCTAAATCATTGTAGCAATAATTCTGTTACAAGGATAACATTTCAATATTTCAATTCTAGTTCTCTTTAACAATATGTCTATAAGGCCACTTCATATAAATAATGTAGTTTCAAAGTTATTTTTTCAAAACATTATTGATTGAAATAAGAAAAGAATGATCTTTAAATTCTAATGAATTTAGAATGTGTAGATTAAATTTAAAATGCAAGATAAAATTTAATTTTTCTTACAATTTTTATATTATATTTTATATATATGTAATACTATCATGATGATAATTTATTTAACTAGATGGTTAAGAATAGAGACAAAATTGAATATGTTTTAAAAATTTTGCATTTACAAAATATGTATAGAAAGAGATGAAGTGAAAAGTAACAATTTTATCAATTGTGATAACCTATCTGGCTTCTTGAGGAAGCAGAAGCAACAAAGATGAAGATTCCAAGATTTGCTATATGTTGTTTTTTTTTTAACCAGACATCTGGTCTATTTTTAGCAAGACTTAGAAGATTGCTGGCCATCTGATGTGTTTCTAATTAATCATTAAAAGAGGAAGTAGAGAGCAATAAATAGAAACTACCTCTTTTTTTCTTCTTAGATCTTTTCACTTACTGCTGCCTCTATAAACAACCTGAACAAATTTTAAATTGTTAGTCAAGTAATATATCAACAAAAAGCTAAAGAAACTTTGTACCTGCCTGAAGAAATTACAGGTATAAACCATATGAACACACCCAGTTGGCTGTTTTGCCAACAGCAAATGGATGATTCAGACAGCACTTAAACTATCAGACAGTTAAAAGAGGTGGTTTTGTTCTCTTTCTGACCTGTTTGGCTTGAAGGTGATTAAGCAGCTAGATAGATAAAGCTCAGGAAAGATTGTTGCTGTTTTAATAGAGGGAAAGAAAATATTTTGTTAGATATTAAGAATTCACTTTTTCTGAATATACTATTAAGAAAAGGAAAATAATGAAGCCTTTTTTTGAGATTGTAATACTGAAAAATAATTTAGCAATGGTTAAAAGTCAAATTATCTTCACTATATTTTAACAGAAACTCATTATTTTTAGAGCAAAGTTCAGTTTACTGTGTCTATTATGGAAGGAAGCAAGATTACTGGCATTTTAATGTAATTTTTCCAGTATCTTTTTACTCTGAAAATTTATTTTATTATTATGTACTTAGAAAGTAGAAAAAAAGACCAAATCCTTTTTATATTATAAATAAAACCATGTTGACAAAAAAAGAAGAAGATTGCAATTTATTCAATGCAAGACTAAAAGGTAGGCTTCATGATATACCTGATAATATATTGGTTCTAATTTGAATAATTATGGATGGTATTTAGTTTAAGAGCAATTACCTACAACTTGAATTTTGCCCACTTGATTTGAAACTCACTGAAAAAAAAAATATTTCAATTCTTCTAAAAAGCATTATGAACTGAGAATAATAAAATGTATGAGTGCCACTAGTTTTCATTAAGTTGGTTTGAGAATATTTATTAGCCACAATTATTTTTTCCATATTAAAATTGTTTACTCCACTACCTTCAGGCTATTCAACATTTTATGAAATTCAGCATTATGTTGCCTGAGTAACTTCACTTTAAAAATCTCAGATATAAACTATTTGAATTCATATATTATAGCCAAAAGAAACACAGACCTCCCAAATAAATGTGAGAAAGTTTAAGCAAAATACTGCTGTTATTTATAAATGCTAGATCACTTGATGTTTGAATCATTACTGGTTGAAAATATGAACCTGAAGATAAGGTAAAGAAACTAATATTTGCAAAGGGTGTATATCAAAACATTTTGATAAAAAGAAGACAATGTCAATCTGTTTGCATTTTCCAATAAATATTTAAGATACAGGTATATTTTCTTTCTGCTTTTATATGTGAACTGATAAAAGTTTTCACAAGTAACAGATGATCAGTGGAGAAAAACAAAAAAGAAAAATAAATTATATTTTCATTTATTAATACAAATTAAATTCAATCATTAATTACCTTTATTAATGATAAATCAATTCAATAATTAAATTGCATAATATTCTAGAATAAAGAGATTTAAAAAGAGAAGTTAGTATCAACAGTATTTGCTAGTACAAGACTTAATTTATTAGCCTTTTACCTGATGGTAATGTGTATTATAATTGATAAATGCATAGAGTTATCACACATTAGTCAATGCTAAATGTCACATTATGAAACCGAGTGTTTTTGAGTAATAGTGAATAGATTAAGTATAAGCAGATAGATGAGTGTTTAAGAATTTGTTCTATACCATACAAATATTGTACATGTTTACTTGAAAAGAATTGCTTACTACTAGAAACAAGTTAGCTGTCCTCTAAAAAAAAAAAAAAAGAAGATTTGTTGCTTAAGATCTTATATAATAACAGAAAGTTATCTGTAGATAATAATGAACAAGAAGAAAATACAAGTGTCTAGAGCTTTTATAAGACAGAAAATAAATATAAAATGTCTTATCAATGAAACTATATTTGAAAGAATTAAAAGAAAATTAGGATTGGGTCTGAATTACATTAACAAATTATAAGGGTTCCAGCAAAAATATGGTTGACAAACAATTTTAAAACATAAGTTTAAAAAAAAAATCTATATTAAATATCAAACTAAGAATGAATGCTCAAAGTAGATATAATATAATGGGATTGAGTTACTATAACTTTGAGATCCCAAGAAAAAATGTTGTGGTAAAAAAGTTATAGCAAAACAAACACACTCACACATATATATAAATAAATAAAATTTCAGATATAACTAAAAATATTGCTGTAAAAGGACAATATGAATATACAAAAAGAAAACTTATTACAATCATTTGGCTTGATAAAGTCTATCAGAGGACAAAATGTGTCAACTAAGATAAGTTTTCTTTTTGTCTCTCTCTCAAATAAAATAATATATATATATATATATATATATATATATATACACACACACAATTAACACTTTTTTTAAACTTCTGGTAATGCATTCAATACAAATCACCAAGGAGGTTTGCTTTGTGGGTTTTAATACATGTGTATTTCCTATCAAGAGCAATAGTTAGTATTAGAGCCTAGATAAAAGAGAATTTCAAATGCTGAATTTCAAAGTTGGCTCTATTCATCTTAAAGATTGGTACAACACAATTTTCCTGTCCCCATATACTCATATCAAAAGACTACATTGATCATTAACTTTATTTTTATACTATACAAAATGTGGAAAACTTCAATTATATTTTGTAGCTAAAGACATAAAATTATTTATTACTCTTTGTTCTGTCTTCTGGCCAATATTAGTACAATGAATTAAAATGACTTTTTGTCTTTAATTAAAGACAAATACAGAACACAGGTACGTTATAGATTAATATTTAAATGAAATGAAACCACTATTTTGTAATATTTCCTTTTTCTTTATAAAAGTATGGTAGTCATTGCCACTCTCATTTTTGTGTTATATTTCAATAATTATTAAGAAATTAAATCAAATCAAAAATACTCATGATATTGAAAACTTTATGCATAAATATAAAACTTGCATTTGAAAGAATTTTTACCCTTTCATGATGCATACCTAAAATTTGTCATGAAAAAAAAAAATCAAAAGCTGAAATAATCTAGTAGCGATGGTCTGTTTCTATATTTCATTAAAATAGTACTTATATAACTAGAGCATTGGGTGTTTTTAGAAAGTTTTATTTTTAGATGTATTTAACTGGAATACACTGATGTAAAGTAGAATAGGAATATACTCAAGAAAAAGATTAAAATGGTTAGATTATAAATAATATTTAGATGCTTTTGATAACTTACAATATTCAAATCAACTTTCAATTTTTTGTAGAATGCACTTCATTTAAATCAGAGGTGAAACAAATACACACAGAATATGAATGCTGAGAGAACCAATGTTAGATACAAAAACAAATCACACATTATTTAAAACTACAAATTATGTAAAACAGTTTACTCACCCTATTGTCATCAACTTCAGTCTCTTCCTTGGTTGTTGTTTTTGAGTCTTCTTCATTCTAAAATTAAAATAGTACACACTTAGAATTAATCTAAATTGTATTTTGTCAAATGTAGACAGTTTCACTAATTGAATCTGTCTATACATGACTCCAGAGAGGGAGAAAGAAAAATCTTTCTATCTTGAATTGTCAAATTTTATCTTGTTTCTTGATTGAAACATCTGAAACACTGGTGGCACACTGACTATATCCAGATGAGTAATAAAAAAAAAAAAGTTTTATGTATTGCATGAAACTAAGTAGTGCAAACTTCAACGGTGTGGGATATGTATATTCATTAATATATATATATATATACTTTATAGCTGTTATATAACATTGAGCACTGTTTCTATAACACTACATGGAGAGTTGCTCGATGACACTCAACACCAACATAAACCAAGGAAGTGTTTCAAGGTTCAAGAGTCTCTTGCATCCTATCATATAGAAGATCCTAGTTGGAAATGGCTGCTTGTGACCAAAATAAGTGGAAGAATACAATTCATGAAGGCACTAAGATCTTCCAATAACATGCAATTAATTAAAATTGTCTTTTTCAACCAAAAATTTCTCACAGCAGTTAGCAAAGCACATTTGAATTATCATGTGAAAGTGCTTGAAACCCTTTATATTAAGTCTAAGCAACCTTCCCCCGTAATTAGGAGTAGTTGCTGGATCTAAATGTAATCTGTTCGAGATTTATATTGCTTATTCTCTGGCAGGAATTTTTCTTCTGAAGTTGTTGTGCACATATTAGGTTGGTCAGAAAGTCCTGACTCACTTAGGAAGCAGAAAGAAAACAACAATATTTTATGGAGCAACACCAACATTTATTCTTCAAAATAAAGTCCATCATTCTCAACGATTTTCTGCCAGCGATCAGCCAGCATCCGAATCTGTCCCTGATACCAGTCCACTGGCTTTGAATAAAAAAACTGTAACCAAGCTTCCTTCAACAAAAGTTTTGAATTGCTGGTCGTGGAGGAAGTGTGCCATTGAGCAGAATAGGCCATAGCCACCTGGAGCAGAATCGGGACTGAATGGTGGATGTGGAAGAATCTCAACACTGTCCATCTGTTTGAATTTTTCCTTAGTCAACCTGGCAGTGTGTGGCCTTGCATTGTCTTGTTAAAACAAAGCCCAACTTTGATTGACCACAGCAGGATAATCCTTATTTTGTTATACATGTGGTCTAATTGCAGTTTAGAATTGATAGTGAAACCACATGAAACAAGCTCAGAATGCAGTACTCTTTGGAAATTTCACCAGACAGATATCAAGATTTGTTGTTTACTTTCCAATTCCTAAGTGAGTCAGGACTTTCTGGCCAACCTTATATTTATAGGTTTTGCCTGTCACTAAGCTCTGAAGAGCAAGGAGTGATAAATTCCTAGCTTTTATTTTGTTCCTTTTTTGTTATATTTTTGATTCACCACTTTTATGGTGTGTAATATTTTTTCCTTATTCTTGCTCTTCCTTCCACTTTGTTTTAATATATTTGTACTAGTAGTAGAGCCATAAACAACCTGGGATGTAACAATAAGAGATAGATCAAGGAATCGAAACATCATAAAGACTGAAAAAAAAATTGACAAAGATTATTGTTTAAAACAAAATTTTATGTCTCAAAAGTTTTTTTTTTTTTTTTTTTTTAATTTTTTTTTTTTAATTATTTTTAAAATTTTTCCATCTTTTTAGAATATTCTAAATTTTGATTTAAAAAAACCTTGTTTCTCTTTGTCACAACAAGGGGTAGTAAATAACATAGATAATTTTTAGTGCGTTTTTTTTGTATTTACACACATTAATTTGGAAAATCTTGCAAAAATAAAAATAATTGTCAGA